TTAGTTATTCCCACCATGTATGCCTTACCTTAAAAATATTTCAGAATCCGTTATTGGTTGGAAGCATTATTTCGAGAAGATAAACAACATACCTCAAAATTAGTCTCAACGGACAATCATTGAAAGAGATGGGAGAATTAACACATTCGGACTTTTAAATATATTTTCATCGTTTTTTAGTGAGTGTGAAAAACTAATCAATGTGAATATCTTGATACCGAGCTTTAAGAAAAGACGACCGATGACAAATGATGATGATTGAAAAATACAATACCAAAAAATATATTGTTTAAATATTTAGCGGCAAAATCGATATACTCCTAAAGTTTAGTATCTACAATAACTATATTTAGACATTAATAATCATCATCATGCCCTCATCATCGTGTTGTTTAAATTTAAAGATTCAATGGTATAATTGAGAAAAATGAAATTTAATATTATAATTAGAAAAGTAAAAAAAAATATAAATAATATGTCAGCTACACTTAAATTCTATTTGGTTTGGTGTACCCAAAATTTAATATCACGTGTTGCAATTTTCACCCATATTTTGTTTAAATGCATGCATCGCCCCATTTAGAATTACAAAGTTTAATCCATAATAGTAGAAGACAAAACCACTTGCACAGTTTTCCATGTACAAATGCATGCATGAGTCTTGGTTACATCAAGTGAAGTGTACTAGACAACGTGCACCAAGCACAAAGGGTGGGTCGGTTGTGGCCTGCACGACAACCCCTTTTACTCCTAAGGAACATCAATTAATGAGCCGCTCCACCTTTTCTAATGGTAATAGATGCGGTAAAAGATAATAAAATATAAATAAACGAAAATGAAGTCATCTTATACGATAAAATGGCTGAAATAACGGTGTTAAAAAAATTGCTGGAATAATATAGAGCAAGAATTATTTCGTGGAGTCTTTGTTATAGAATTATATTAAGTCTTACTGTATTTACAGCGTCACATTGAAGACACGTCGCACTTCATGTGATATCATGTGATATTAGGGGCTTCGAAATCATAAATGAAGTTTTGACAAGGTAAATTAGGGTTATTGTCTTGGAAGTTTCGAACCCAACGAGAAGTTTCAAAATCATAAGTGAAGTTTTTACTATTACGGTAGCATTCATTTTATTTTATGAAATAATTTTTAGGGTATATTATCTTAAGATTTGTTTTAGATGCATCATCTGAAAATTTTGTCTACCTTATACTGATTAAATTTTAAACTATTTATAATTTCTTTAATAGTTAAATTATGTATAATTATCAATTAGTACTACGTTAAATATTTAGCATGATATTTAAGTGAAACATACCATGTTATGAATTCTTCAATCTTAAGGAAGTGAGTTTTGTTGGGATGGAAGAAGACAAGTGAAAGGAGGGGAGGGACATGAGCCCATAATTCTGAACAATGAAGGGACCATGGCCATAGAAAATGGGATGTCGGTTATTCTTCAACAGCTCATTTTGAGCACCACTGCCATAGGGGATTTCCATGGGAAATGTCATTATTAATCTGATTGGACCAACATGCATGGCTATCTCCTTTGTCCGGTTTCTGGATCTTTATCTCTTTCCATTGGTTTATCTAATAGTTTATTTTGGTATAAAAAATATGGAAATGTTGACCTTAGCATGAGTTTGACTATTATTACAGACTGGATCTTTGTCTTCCTACGTATACCTAGGACCTCGCTCAACTACCATATCAGTTTAGTTCTTGTATTTGCCATTCTGGCTCTATTATTGTCTTCGATGCTCTGCTAAAATAAGTTTGGTTTTAGTTTACTCTCTGTGGATGGAATCAACAACTGATTTAAATTCTACAACTAAGCACCGGTGTGTACATAATGAGACCATTTGGAAATTAGTTAGGCGCTGTAGATTGGGATTATCGATTAATCCGAATTAAATATCATAGAGATTCATGATGTGTGCTACTTTTATTAACTCGAATTTTCAAAGATATGCAAAGCCCATCACCTGGTCAAGGCCCAAAATTTTGTATGTACCCTTTGACTCATCTGTCTTATGTTAACCCAACTTTGGAATTGGGTGACCCATCCAAATAACATCTCTATTCTTACACTACTTGACACATTACAACAATTAAAAGAATTATTGTTATTTCTAGAAATCTTATGTTCAAGCATTTATGTATGCGGACACGTATTGGTTATCGAAGAAAGATTTTGAACATATACTACCACATAATCACCACAAACAATTAACTTTTTCTATACATGTTTGGTTGGGAGTGTGTAATTACACACAATTTGGTGAGACATTAATTCAAAAGTAAAAAAGGTTGGAATGCTAATATGATTAATTTCAGGCTTAATTATTCCAACTCTTACCCTTTAAAAATAAGGGTAAAGTACATAAATGTTCCCTCGATTATAAGGTGCTGTTTTATCGAGTCTCTTAATTATTAAAAATTAGGATAAAATAAACCTTATAGTCAATCGACCATTTTATAATTTTTAATAATAAAAAAATTTAACAAAACAAAAACCGTACAATCGAGGGACCATTTGGTGTATTTTACCCTTTAAAATTAAAGAGTATAATTACATTCAATTCTGTAGACTTAGTATTTCAATAATTATTTAAACATGTTGTACCTGTCGGAACCGTCTTTCGGTTGTGCCCCGGAATTGGGCTTCGACTTGGATTAAATGAATTGGAGTCGCCACCGACCACTTTAAAACGAATTTAGGTGGGCCGGATACCATCTTACCTGATCTGCGTCGTACCAGAAACGTGTCGGGTTCGGGAGTCGGTTACGGTCAAGGAAGGATTAGCACCCTTGAACCGCCCTTTCGGTACCAATTAATTTGTCGGTTGTCTTTAATTGCGAAAATTAGAATTTAAATTAAAATTAAATTCATTCGATCCGAATTACTTACCATTTGATCGGCTGAAATCATGACTGAAACAAAATACGTTAGATAAAAAGCGAAAACAAAATGCTAATAAATATAAAAAAAACATAAAAAATAATAATAATAATGAAAGAAAGAAATAATAAAATAATAATAAAAGGTTAAATTTAAAAAAATATTTAAAAAGTAAATAAAAAATAAAGATAAAATTTAGGATCAAATTGGAACAAATTGAGCTTAATGAATTAGAAAATGAACTGCAAAAGAACAAATAAAAAGTTAGGGGACCAATTCACAGAATATAAAAAAAAATATAAATAGGGACCAAATTGATTAAATCAGAAATATGGAGGCCGATTTACAGGTAGTGACCAAATTGAACTGCGACTCAAAATGATAGGGACTGCGGAAAGGATTTAAGAATCCTTTATTTGCACACTGGTCCCTCGTATATAAATGCCCAAACACACCCTTTCTCAGCTCATTTCCACCATTTCCTCACAGATTCTTCTCTCAAGCGAGAGAAGGCTCTGAAGCCCTCTCCCTTGGCGATTCCGACCACCTACCGACGCTGTCCACAACCGCCGACGGCCGCCGCTAGCGGCGGCCGAAAAAACCAAAGCCCCTCAAAATACTCCTCTCCACCCCGTAAACCTAAATATGTGACTCAAAAACACAAAACATGCCCCTACCGGCGTAGATCTAGGCGTAAATATTCGATTTTTACCCTTAAAACCCTTCGTATCCCGACGTTTTTCGTTCCTCACGGTGGTGCTTTTCCTCGCGCCAAGAGTTTCGACCCTTCCTTTGATATATTTTGCTTTGTATCTTGGATGTATTTGGTAGTTGTGGTTTGATGGGTTTTTGATGTCTTCTGGTTTCTGGTTTTTGTGACTCTGATGTACTGTTGGCTTCAGTTTTTACTTGTTGTTGGTTTGAACTCTTGGTTTACTGTTGATCCGTTGTGGGTTCTCCTTGATCTTGTTTTGGTTATTTGGTTTACTGTGTTTATGCTTCTGAGATTTGCGTGGCTGTCTCCTCCCTGATGGCCGTGGTGGGATATTTATACCCACCCCACCGGGGGTCTGCTCCGATGATAACGGTAACGTGCTCGTGGTTAGTTGGCCGGGGATTTCGAGATGGGTCAGTCCCGATCTCCTCGGCCGGAAATCTCGGTGGCCGGTGTGACTGACCCTTGACCTCCTTGGCTTACGCTGCGCCTGTTTGAACATACGTTGGAACCCTAATCTGAGCTCTGGGCTGGATCAGGCCCTCGAGACTTATTGGACTGTTTGGACCCTAAAAAAACATAAAAGAAAAAATAAAAAAGAAAATAATAATAATACTGATATAATATAAATTATATAATACATATATTTCAAAATATTTTTTAAACTATATATTATATTTAAAAAAGTTTTCAAAACTATATTATATAGTTTTCAAAATGTTTTAAAAATATTATATAAGTTTTTTAAAAAACGTTTTTAAAACTATATATTATATAATTTATTCAAAAATGTTTTTAAAACTATATATTATATAAGTTTTTAAAATGATTTTAAAACTATTTATATATTTTCTAAAATGTTTTAAAAACTATATGTTATATAGTTTTCAAAAATATTTAAAAAACTATATATTACCCATATTTTCAAAATGTTTTCTTTTTTAAAAACTATATATTATATATATATTTTCAAAAACCGTTTGCAAACCATATAATATATATATAGGTATATATGTATAAAATAATAATAAAAAATATGGACGAAAATTAGTGTCTACAGTACCAATATAAAAAGTATTTTTTTTATAATTACTTAATATCAAAACCGTAATGTTTTTATTTATTTAATATTTTAGAGTAAAAGTTGTTGTGTGGATACTAATTGGACCGAGTAGAGCTTCAATCCAAGGAGTAATAAATTTATTAGGACAACTGGCCAGACCGAAACTTGTGTTGGGCTTAGAAGCCCAAAATTGCTGTAAAATAACTAAAAAAATGAAACGCCCACCGACTAGAAAATAAAATAATAGAATCCCTAAACCGCCTAACGCGTTTTTATATAAAAGGGGTCGAGGGGCGGCTTGAAATCCAAGCAACGCGTAGAAATATCTTCCAAGAGATTGTGTCTCGATTCATTGGATTTTCTTCGCGTGTGGTTCCCGTCTTCTTCCGTCTTCTTCCCGGTAAGTTCTTCAATTACCCCTGATTCAGTCGAGGTCAGATCGGATCCGCCAAAAGAAGCACGGAAATTTCATGTTCTAGGGTTTTCGGTTTGATTGTCTTCGTGTATTTTTATTGTCGTCGCTTTGGTTGATTGCCCTATCTGAAATCTACGGTGTAACCTTTGTTTTGCTCCTCCTGTTTGTTGATTTTTTATAATTGTCTGCCTATTTAGGGTTTGTATTTTTGCGGAACCCTAGAAAAGGAAAAGTAATTGGCTATTTGTTTTGTTCTTTTGTTCTTGGAGATTTTGTTTGGTATCTTTATAGATTTTGTTTAATTGAGAAGAGTTGTGTGGTTCTTGATTGATATGGCGGCAGGACGAGTTGATGTTCGGAGGAGAATTGATGTTGAGAAAGTGAATCGGTGCTATGGTCGTGCTAATTCCGTTAAGAATGGATACGATTGCCCATCTGATCGGAAGATTTCGGCTTCCCTTCATAAGAGTAAGTTTGAATTGGGTCGTAGGCGATGTTGGTTAGACAATGATGTGAAAGTTAAAAAGGATGATGAAGTGCATCAGAAAAAGAGGAAGTTTTCCCCAGTTATATGGAACCTAGAAGATGAAGACAGGAGAGCTTTATCCAAGTCCGGAGATATAGGAAGAACTACCACTCTGTCATGTCTACCTTCACCTTTGAAGTTGTCAAATACTGTTTCCAATCAGGACGATAAGCAGCTGCCCTTCTCTGTTGATCTTATCAAAGAAGAGCATTTGTTGCTACCCAAGTCTCCGGTGTCAAATATGAGTGTTGTTTTATCTCCTTCACTGTCTGGCCAGCAATGGAAGGATGATGAACAAGAAAAAGGTTTGATGGGAAAAGATGACTTTCAAGCTCCCAACATATTTACATCACGATGGGCTTCCGATAGTGATGATGAAGATGGATCTCTCACTGAGGAAAAGTTAAAGAGGAGTTCGAGTCTTGAGAGTGGTGAGCTTGAAAGAGAGGAATTGGATGGAGACGGGGTTCGGTCTGATGAAAGAAGCAGCACTGAACTGTCTGCTTGCAAGGGTGAAGATAAGGAGTGTAACTTGAACTCTGAAGGCATGGACATTGATGACTGGCATGAAGAAGATGCTATTGTTGATCAATCAGATTTAGATGTTGAGGAGTCTGTAGGAAGTGGGATGAACATGCTTCTTGGTTGCAGAAGTGTTTATGAATATGAAAAACTGAAAAAAATAAGTGAAGGTACCTACGGGATTGTCTATAGAGCTAAGGATAAGAAGACCGGAGAAATTGTGGCCCTGAAGAAGGTAAAAATTCTTGGTGGAAGGGAGTTAGAAGAATATGGTTTCCCTGTGACATCACTGAGAGAAATTAACATTCTTGCATCTTTTCATCACCCTTCGATTGTTGAAGTTAAAGAAGTTGTCGTAGATGACCATGACAATGTTTACATGGTTATGGAGTACATGGAGCATGACTTGAAGTGGCTAATGGACTCGATGAAGCAGCGTTTCAGTACAAGTGATGTTAAAAGCTTGATGTTTCAGCTACTGGAGGGTGTGAAATATCTTCATGATAATTGGGTGCTACATAGGGATTTGAAAACATCCAATCTTCTGTTGAACAACCAAGGTGAACTCAAAATATGTGACTTTGGTATGGCGCGACTGTATGGGAGCCCTCTTAAGCCATATACCACCAAGGTGGTTACCCAATGGTATAGGTGAGTAGCATTCTATGTACTGATACTCTTTGAACAATATGAATGCTATGTGCTGAATTTGACAATACCTTTGTTTGTTTCTCTACATTTCAGAGCTCCTGAACTTTTACTTGGAGCAAAGAAGTATTCCAAAGCTGTGGACATGTGGTCTGTTGGTTGTATAATGGCTGAATTGTTAGCTAAGGATCCTTTGTTCAAAGGGACAAGTGAAATTGATCAGCTCCGCAAGGTAATTACTGTTCCTATTGAAAGTTTGTACTTATATTTTCATTATTATTTTGTTCCTCATGTTTGGTGATGGATATTGATTGCAGATCTTTGATACTCTTGGTGTTCCTAATGAGAAGATTTGGCCTGGGTTTTCTGAATTACCAGGTACCAAGGCAAATTACTCTAAGCAACGGTAAGTATTTTTTTGGATGATTAATTTTGTCATCCAAATGACACTACTATTTATCTTGATTTTATGTGTTCAAGATTTATTAATTTCGTACACATGCTAATTGCAATTTAACAAGTAGTTGCTTTTGTTTTCTCCTTCCAGGTATAACTTGTTGCGAAAAAAGTTCCCTGCAGCATCTTTCACAGGATCTGGTGTCCTTTCTGATGCAGGATTTGACCTGCTAAGCAGGCTTCTTACATATGATCCTGAGAAGGTAATTACACTGAGTTTTAAATCTTGTTTTGTTTTAGCTTTTGTTTACAAGAGCTTGGCTTCGGTTATAATCGTAGTTTCTGTTATTTTTGTAGAGAATAACAGCAAGTGATGCTCTTAATTATGATTGGTTCCGGGAGCTTCCTCTCGCTAAATCTAAAGAGTTTTTCCCTACTTTCCCACCAAAAGTGTGAATGTGATGATCCCCTGGCCTGATTGGTGAAAAGCTTGACACAACCAAAATATTAACCGTGCTATGCATGAAGGATCCGAATCTGGTGTAGCAGCGGTAATATTTTTTTTCTGTCAATTGGTTTGTATCATGATACAAGACATATACGTGCATTCAGCCGCTATGTTGTCTTCCGTGGTAGTTGCTTAAGCAGGTGATTGACAAAAATACGAGATGCATGGTTTGGTAGCAAATTACTGGGGAAGAAACTGATATCATCTTTTGGCGGCTCATATAGCCTTAATGGTATGATTATTCTGTATATATAATTTTCGGATGAGCTGTAGATGTAGTGTTCATCAGACCTTGGAAACTTCTCATTTTTCATCTTCTTGATATTGCATCAGATTGTAACTCATGTAAATATTCTTATCCACATTTGAATGTTTCTTTTTAATTTTCTCGGCTAAAGCTGTTGTCTAAAACTATTGCCCATGGTTTCCCTTTTAATTTTCTCACATTGCTTGCTAGAGTCGCACTGGTATTTGGAAGGATACAACGTTGGTGTTTACTGTTTATGGGCAGCAAGTTCTGCACACATAGGTTGATCATTTTATAACTTGTGAGATTTCTTTCCATATGTTTCTTTGGTTTCCTCTGTGTTGTTTTCTTGTTTGTTTGGAAGTGTTGCAGAGGGGGTTGAAAGCCTGCAAACAACATATGTTTCTTTGGTTTCCTCTGTTGTTTTCTTCTTTGTTTGGAAGTGCAGCAGCATTTAAGGGGGTTGAAAGCGTGCAAACAATTATTTCGTATGCAAGTAAGGCATTGTTTGCTTGACTTAACTTCTCCCCTAAGAATCGACCAACCATTCTCAGCTTATATATTAACTATTACGCTGACAGACGAAGTTTCTTGATTAGCAAGCTGCAGATGGTACGGTTGGAGGGAAAAAGGATAATATAACCAAGGATATTATTAAACGAGGCTTGCTGTTCGTTATACTATGCCCTTCCTGTTTTCAATGCTTTATTTCTTAACATTTTATTTAGGATGAATGAATGTTCTTGCAGTCTAGTGATTGCAGCGCCTTCTTCAATATGGGTAGGTGATATAAAATTTCATCTTTCATGAGGTAGTTGAATGTATTACAATCCTTTAAAAGAAATCACTATTTGAATGTGGACAGTTTCTTTCTTCTGGACCTGTTGGTGTTTCGCACAGAAGAAATATTACGCCTCCAGAGAACTTTTTAATCGTTTTGGTCCAGTTTTCAAAGTTACGTTTAGTCCAATTCATTTACGGCTTTTAACCTGTTGGAATCCAATTTTTTAAAACTGATCCGCCAATCACCGAACTTGAAACAAATGGAGTATCACCTATTGCTCCATCAAACCGGCTTATCATCTAATTTATTATATAATAATTTATACACCACTCGATCCGTTTAATCATCAATTCATTTTTCAAATGGTCCATGGTAGAACAATTTTAGGATAAGCCAATTCAATTGGTCAAATCTGATCCAACTCGTCAACAATTATGTCATCCAATCTCATCCAGTTCATAGGAACGTTAAAAGAAAAAAGAAAACCCCAAAAATTCCAACACTTGCGCAGACCCAACTTAAATAAAGCAGTTTTCAAAAGAAAAACATTCAAAATAAATGATTTGTCGTCACTCTATAGCATCATCATAATTCCAGTTTATACGCATTAATCCTGGATGTTTAAAAAAAGTCGACAGCCGTGCCATTTGGGCAAAAAAACAATGGGATAATGATGAATTAGAGTATTTAAATACCTATCACTATCAGCCATGAACTAAGCACAAACAAAAACATGTCTGTCTTTAGGTTAAGAGATCCATCATTCATGAGTAAAGCACCTTCTGAACTTGCTGCCTAATTGCAATTTCATCAGGAAAGTACCGTCCGAATCTCGTGCGTAACATCTTCAGGAGACTTCTTGGCACTGAGCTTAGTAACTGCTCCCTTCTTGGAATAATGATTGATCACCTAAGTTCCGAATAACACCGTTGAAAATGTTAACAGCAATCCAGAAACTAGAGAACAAACGTTCATGCCGTATGCGCAATTATCATTAAAAAACGTACCACGTATTCTACTAACTCCAGCATTTCAGATAACTTTAAGAAAATAGAAGAAAAAAGATTACAGTCTATCCATTCCTCTAGAAACAGTTAGGAAACAGAAAGCATACTGGTTCAGTTTGCTTATGAAATGCCTTGAGTATTGACTTGAGGACAGTTGCAGTTGTTATGTTTGGTTTGAAATTAAGTTTGACAAGTTGAAAATTTTATCTTGGTTGGTGGTCAACTTATTGGAAAATTCATCTTGGTTGGTGGACAATTTATTGGAAAAAACTTTGGTAGGTGGCCAACTTATTTTCATCTTTGATCTCTAAAATATTAGGTTATTTATGAGTTTATTCCTTAAAACTCAACTATAAATAGGCTTAAGTATTTCATTAGAAATCATCCCTAAACAAGTTCTCTCTTCCTCTTGTTTTCTTCATTCTCTCACTTTGGGAATTCTAAAGAATTCCATTTGTTGTAATATTTGTTGATAGTGAAGTTAGCAACCGGTGTGGTGCCTGAGGAGTAGACGATATTCTTGTCGAACCTCGTAAATTTGGTGTGTTCTCTCCTTTATTATTCTTTATTCGATTTTTACATTGTGTTTCAATATTCAATAGTTTGACGGGTTTATCCGCTATGCAACCTTTGCTGGTTTTGATCTTGACATTTTATGTCAATTTTGAAACTACGTTCGTGTGGAAAATAACCCGGTTTCCCCAACAATTGGCATCAGAGCTTCGGTTGAGGTTATCCTATTGCTGAAAAGATACAGTTCGTGATATTGAATATTGTTCGTTAGAATTAAAATTCTAAAATACGGATCAGTTGAGACATCAAGCTCTTTATCTGGACCGGTGAGGAGGGTGATGTCAAATGCAAATTTCTCGGTGGAGTTATTCGATGGATCCGATCATTTTGGCATGTGGCAAGGCGAGGTGTTAGACGCTTTATTCCAACAAGGTCTAGACATCGCCATTGAGAAAGAAAAGCCCGAATATATGAAGGAGAAAGAATGGGGAACAATCAATCGTTTGGCGTGCAGCATGATTCGATCTTGTCTTTCCAGGGAGCAAAAGTATGGCTACAAGAACGAGACTTCTGCAAGTAAGATGTGGAAAGCATTGGAGGAAAAATTCCTAAAGAAAAGATCTCAGAATCGTCTCCACATGAAGAAAGATTGTTCAGATTTGATTATCAACCAGACACCAGTATGAATGAACACATCACTGCGTTCAATGAGCTAGTGGTAGACTTATTGGGCATGGATGAAACCTTCAAAGATGAAGATTTGGCCTTGATGTTGTTGTCATCTCTTCCAGATGAATTTGAGCACCTTTAGACAACGTTACTTCATGGTAAGGATAATGTTACCCTTAAAGATGTAACTACTGCTTTGTATAGTTGTGAGCTCAGGAAGAAAACCAAGAAATAGAGCAAGTACGAAGCAGCGGAGGCCATGGTGGCAAGAGGTCACTCGAAAAGTCAAAAGCCAAAGTGGAGAGGGAGATCAAAGTCGAAGTCCAGACTGGGAAAAGATGAATGTGTCTTTTGTCATGAGAAAGGTCATTGGAAGAAAGATTGTCCGAAGCTGAAGAAGAAAGAAAAAGTTACTCCAGATGCATGTGTTATATAGCATGATGCAAATGACTCTGACATATCATTGGTTGCTTCATCAACAACATTCCATTCAGATGAGTGGATATTAGATTCGAGTTGTACCTATCATATGTCCCCTAATCGGGAGTGGTTCTCCGATTTAGTAGAACTAAATGCAGAGTTGTTTATACAGGCAATGACAATGCCTGTAAAACTGTTGGGGTAGGTTCAATTCGATTGAAAAATCAAGATGGATTAACCAAAGTTCTGACTGATGTCCGATACGTGTCCAGTTTGAAGAAAAATCTCATCTCGTTGGGAGCCTTGGAATCCAAAGGCTAAGTAGTCACTATGAGAGATAGAGTTTTAAAAGTCACATATGGCGCACTTGTGATGATGAAGGGCATCAGGAAAAATAATTTGTATTACTACCAAGGTAGTACAAAGGTAGTACAATTATTGGAGCAGTTGCAGCAGCTTCCGGAGGTGATGATTTGGATGCAACCCAGTTGTGGCATATGCGGTTGGGATACGTTGGAGAGAAATCCTTGCAAATTCTGGCAAAGAAATGATTGTTGAAAGGTGCAAAGGCTTGCAAATTGAACTTTTGCGAGCATTGTGTTCTGGGAAAGCAGAAGAGAGTGAAGTTTGGTACTACTATACATAATACAAAAGATATTGTGGATTATATTCACTAAGATGTATGAGGTCATTCAAAGACATCGTCTTTGGGAGAAAACCATTATTTTGTAACCTTTGTAGATGACTTTTCCAGAAGAGTTTGGGTGTATCCGATGAAGTCTAAAGATGATGTGCTTCGAATTTTCCTGAAATGAAAAAATATGATCGAGAACCAGACTGGTAGAAAGATCAAACGTCTTAGGACGGATAATGGATGGGAATATAAAAGTGATCCATTCTTTGACGTTTTCCATGAGTATGGTATTGTTCGACACTTCACTGTTAGAAATACACTACAACAGAATGGGGTGGCAGAGTGTATGAATCGAACACTATTGGAGAAAGTTCGATTTACGTTGTCTAATGCTGGGTTAGGCAAGGTATTTTGGGCTGAGGCTGTGATATGTTGGCCATCTCTTCAATCGTCTGCCATCATCAGCGATAGGAGGAAAAACACCATTAGAAGTATGGTCTGGAAAAGCTGCTACTGATTATGATTTCTTACATGTATTTGGATCCACTACTTATTATCATGTGATAGAATCCAAGCTTGATCCGAGAGAAAAGAATGATGTCTTTATAGGAATCACCCATGGAGTGAAGGGATTCCGCCTTTGACACCAAGAAGATAATTTGTAGCAGAGATGTTACCTTTGATGAATCTGCCCTAGTAAAGAAGGTAACAAATGAAGTTGTCCAGATAAGTAGTACCCACAGCAAGTGGAGCATACTCCAAAACAGATAGAGTTTCAGCAGACGATGATCCCAGAAGTTGATGCAGCTGATTCTTCAACTCCAATAGAAGAATTAGAAGATGAAGAGGTTCAAACCCAAGAACCATTGGAGACACCAGAACCACTTGCAGTTACAAGGCCAAAGAGAGAAATTCGTAGACCTGCTCGATTTGTTGATATAGTGGCCTATGCTCTTCCAATTGTTGATGATGATATCCTTATCACTTACCAAGAAGCAATACAAAGATTGGAAAGTGATAAGTGGAAAAGTGTCATGGATGAAGAAATGCAATCTCTCCAAAAGAACAACACTTGAAAACTGACACAATTACCGAAAGGTAAAAGAGCAATTGGATGCAAGTGGGTATTTGCAAAGAAAGATGGATCTCATAGCAAGAAACATTTCGCTACAAGGCACGGTTGGTAGCTAAAGGCTACGCTCAAAAGGAGGGAATCGACTACAATGAAGTATTTTCCCCTGTTGTGAAACATTCCTCCATTAGAATATTATTGGCCCTGGTAGCACAGTTGAATTTGGAGCTAACTCAACTTGATGTAAAGACGAATTTCTTGCACGGTGATTTAGAAGAGGAGATTTATATGACTCAGCCAGAAGGATACAAAGATGGTGATTGAGAAATGGGTTTGTAAGTTGAACGAATCGCTATATGGATTGAAACAATCTTCGAGGCAGTGGTACAAGCGATTTGATAGCTTTATGAGGAGGCAAAATTACACTAGAAGCAAATAAGATCATTGTGTGTATTTACAAAAGCTCAAAGATGGATCTTTCATTTATCTTCTCTTGTACGTTGACGATATGTTGATCGCTTCGAATAGTCAAAAGGAGATAGACAAATTAAAGGCTCAGTTGAATCAAGAGTTTGAGATGAAAGATCTAGGTGAGGCCAAGAAGATTCTTGGTATGGAGATAAGCAGAGATAGACAGAGAGGGAAGCTTTGTTTAACACAGAAGCAGTATCTGAGAAATGTATTACAAAGTTTTGGTATGAATGAAAATACCAAACATGTAAGTATCCCACTGGCTTCTCATTTGAAAATTAGTTCTCAATTATCTCCTAAAACTAATGAA